AAGGACGCTCGGAACCGAGGGGGTATGCGCTCTCTGAACCTGTGTACCGACTATTACGCTCTATTACGCCACAAATTAATCGGAATTTAGCTAAAAACGGCCTAAAACACACCAAAATTGAATTTTTTTTTGACAATTTCGGCTATTACGCGACTATTACGCGTATTATTACGCGTGCTATTACAGATAGAGTGAACCGACTATTACGCGAGTGCATACCCCCTAGCTCGGAACGAGTCTGCTGCAAATCAGGTCACCGCAGTCATCGCCATTCCCTTTCCCCCTTTTCGCGCGAAGACTGCCGCTGACTAACTGATGCGGGACATTGCAGTGCACTCCCCTGGAGACAGCAGACAGCCACCGGCATCTCGTCAGGAGCACGGGCTGGACCACGCACAGTGTGACGGATTCACCAGAAAAGGGACAAAATTAATAAACATGAAACCGTTTGATCAGTTTACACCCAAATTCGTATACCAGGGTTTTGAAGAGCGCTGAACAAGAATTTAGAATCAATATTGCTGTTCAAAGTGTTCTTTTCTAAATATCACACTAAAAAAAATATTTTGAAGTGTATATTTTCAAAATTTAGTCCACACACAATATTGAGGTCACTGAAGTCGAATATGAAAGTAGTTTTCATCAGGAGCACACAGTTTTGGCATAGCACGACGTACAATTTTACTTGCTGTAGTCGTTAGCTCTAGATGGATTTGAGGTTAGGAATCCCAAAAAAAATTTTTTTTCGGAGAATTCCCTTACTCTTGGGCGTGGCCATTAGTTTAGTAAAGTCAAACATTCATTTCATGGCGCCAGGGGTGTGGTGAACGTGTCTGAAAGCGTGAAAACGCCTCACCTTAGACAGCGACACGCTGCCATGTCCTATATTTAAATGCTCCCGGAGCGTCGGGTAGCGCATATTAGCGCCCAAACTAAACTTGTTCCTGTAGAGGAAGGTCTAATCTTCAAGTTAACACCAAAATTACCGCGGGACTCGGCGGGACTCGGTTTGAAACTCAAAGAGAAATTGCAACTTTTTATAACTTTTGTCGTTTTTTCTATCATATTGTATGGACGCGATTTTCAAGCGATGTTGAGGCAATAATGGCTGTTCTATACAGCCAAATTGAAGAGAATGAAACACCCTTTCCAGTACACTTCTCGGTTTGCTGCTAGCATGATTCGTTTGCCCTGTACGCAGTCTCAAATACGAGCAATGTTACACTGCTGGCGAGCTCGCCTCGGCAGCGCTCTCAAAGCGCTGATTTCGAAGCCACGGCTACGCTCTCCTGTTGGGAGCATCGACAAAATTCAAACGGCGTTTTGCAGATAAGTCTCTTGTCTACAACATGCGCTAGTCACTTTCTCTGTACCTCATACTTGAAAAAATGAATTTTGTCCCCGTTTTGGGGCATCCGTCACACTGTGCCACGGGCTGGCCTAGCGTCCATCCAATCGGCATTCACTTCAAACAATTGCGTCACAAACATTAAGAGGAGTGGTTGGTATTTTTTTAGGAAAATTATAGGAAAATTACCGCGGAAATTACTAAAAGAAATATTTTGAATTTTTAAAGCCAGTTGTAATTTTTTTGTCTTGACAAAGGCCACATAAGGTGGTTGGGCCGCCTTCACAAGTACCGTTCACTGTGCCCGCCCCACCCCGCCCCGCCAAGCCCCGCCACGCCCCGCCACGCCATGCCGCGGCCCATTTCCGCTAAAAGGCACTGGTATGAATTTGGCACGACGGTCGATGCTTTATTCGTGTGGTGGTCTTGCTTTTCATTTTTCCATACTTCCATTTCATCCTCCTCCGACTTCAGCCACCGGCAGCCAACGCACGGAGGGACAGAGAACTAGCGCCGGCGGCCAAAACTCCAGACGCGTTTTGAGCTCCAGAGTCGCTAAATGGGACTCGAACCGAACGTGTGACCCCACCAATGGATTGCTCTCTGCACGAGGAATCCATTGGTGGGGTCACACGTTCGGTTCGAGTCCCATTTAGCGACTCTGGAGCTCAAAACGCGTCTGGAGTTTGCGTCTCTCCAGGCGTCGCGCGGGGCGTCCACCAGGCCGTCGTCCGGGGCGGCCCGAGGGGCGGCCTCATACAAGCGATGGCGAGATACGGAATCGCTTACAGAGGACACTCTGGCCATGAAAGAAGCGCGACAGGGCTGACACCACAGCGACGCCTATCGCGGCCCGGATCAGCAGGCTTGCCAACGCCCAGACATTACAGTGCCGTGAAAAATAAATGGGCGGGAAAATAAAGCGTGTGTGTACACTGGGGTGGCCTCGCCCTCGGAGAGAGAGAGAGAGAGAGAGAGAGAGAGAGAGGGGGGGGCACAATAACACGGCGAGCGGCGAGGTGGGACGACGCGACGTGTCACACTGAACGAGTGCTGGAGCCTGGAAGCCAAGAAGAGTGGAGCAGTGGTGCCACCACACTGTTGGCGCGCCAAAAAATGCGGGGAGTGGGGCGCGGCGGCGAGGCGGCCGAACGAATTACGTCGCTATGACTCGCGGCGCGTCGCGCGAACCACGGCGGCCGCACAGTGGATTTGCCAGAAGACCGGTGGAGGCGGTCATAGTCCCGGATGCGTTTTGAGCCCCAGAGTCGCTGAATGGGACTCGAACCGAACGTGTGACCCCACCAATGGATTCCTCGTCCGGAGAGCAATCCATTGGTGGGGTCACACGTTCGGTTCGAGTCCCGTTTAGCGACTATGGAGCCCTAAACGCGTCTGGGATTTTACAAAATTTTCCCTAACATTCAGTGCGTGTCGCTGAGCCTGGCCTGGGCCTGTCATCGTGGCTGCATCCCAGCCAAGCTCCCACACCCTCACGCCAGAAATGTCAGAATGCATCATCTTTATCGGTCCCCGATGTGCCTCCGGGAAAGTCATAGTGCCACTACTGCGATTCATCCGAGGCGGCGGCGTCGGCCGAGAACACACAAAAAAGAGGCACCATGTTTCATTCGGGTGTGTTTTTCTGACGCTCCCCTCCTCGCATCTCCGTATGCGACCTCCGGCCCCGTAGGCGACCGTCGTAAGGCCTCGTATCATCATTGCCCGCCTGTCTGTCTGTCTGTCTGTCTGTCTGTTTGTCTGTCCGGCTGACTGTCTGGCTGTCTGTCTGTCTGTCTGTCCATCCGATCGGGAGGGCGACGGCGACGCAGTCAAGATCCTTGTCGGGATGCTGCAATCTGCAGAACTGCTTACAGTTGCAATAACACGAGTTATACCGCCAGTTCTTTCTCCCCTCGTCCCGCGCTGTGTTTTGTTTGGAGCAGCAGCCGACGGCTGCTTACAGTGTTGCCACTCATAGCTGCTTGTGCTCCCACATAAGTAGGCGAAAATTCCCGCGGTACACCAGTGTCGAAAGGGTTGCCAACCTCAGCCTGCCTCCTGGGACTGGGCAGTATTTTGGCTATTAACTGTCGGACACACTTGGTTAGTAGGCAGGCTGAGGTTGGCAACCCTTTCGACACCGGTGCATCGTGGGAATTTTTGCCTCCTTGTGTGGCAACACTGGTCAGGAGGTATTGAGCAGTGCATGTCAGTGTCCACGCGTCCTCTTCCTCTCTTTCTCTCTCTCTCTCTCTCTCTCTCTCTCTCTCTCTCTCTCTCTCCAGTGGCGGGTCTCCGACCGCAAGCACAACGTGGGACGGGAGGGATCGAACCACGCCGATACACGGCTCGGGCATCAATGCAGCCGTGGATGGGAGTGAGGCTATCTCCGTCGCACTCTCGCCGGGGTGAGCGCTGGAGACAGAGATAGAGCACGCAACGCTGCACTCAGCAGAGGAATCAGGTCGGAGGTTCTATTCCCGGCCGGAGCGAAGCGGAGGCTGCCCTCTGGGAGGCAGTACGCCGTCCATTACAATATGCGTCGAGGCTCTGAGGGCGTGAGAGAGAGAGAGAGAGAGAGAGAGAGAGAGAGAGAGAGAGAGAGAGAGAGAGAGAGAGAGAGAGAAGGGGGTTGTGTGCGCAGGAGACGTGTTGGTGTGACTTGCGTCTATGGAGAGTCACGTTTCCGATAACATAGTTGTAGAGTATGGTTGACGGGGCAAAAATTGCATCAGTAGTCTGGCCTCGCAAAACGGGTTCGGGTTCGAATCCCCGCCGCGGCGGCACGTGCCCGTACTTTTTTGCGTTTTATCACAACTTGGTCTTTCGCGAGGGGAAACCCGAGACTCGGTCCCTTTTGGGATGATCAAAACGGAACAGGAATACATCCTCACTTCACGGATACACCTAGCTCGCGAGAAATCAGCCGTAAAGTAAGGCCGATGTGGAGATTCTTGGCCGAGCGTTCTTGGGTGGCTAAAACGTTGGGATGTGCGAGGAAGGGAGCAGCGGAAGGCACCCGAGAGAGAGAGAGAGAGAGAGCGAGAGAGAGAGAGAGAGAGAGAGAGAGAGAGAGAGAGAGACTGCGACTGCGTGTAGGAAGGACGCGTCGAGCTGCATGGCGACGCTGAGAATTCTTTGCTGCGGCACGGCATGGCACGGCACTCAGCCCTGAAGAAGGGAAATGGCCGGAAAATTGAGCGGTGCGTCGGAAATTGTGCCTCAAATCAATGTTTATGTGAGCTGCGCGATACGCGCGGGCGGGGCGGCGGTCCCGATGCAGCACGCTGTACGGCGGGGAAAGGGGGCTGCGGCTAGAGGAAGAAATACGTGGGTAGTATGCGCTGGAATCCCTCTGCTTGTATCGCCAGAGAGTTTCCGACTATCAGGCAGGCAGCGATCTTGGAAGGTTTTCTGTCCCTCTGTGTGGCCCTGGTTATGTGAATCGGAGCGTTGACCGCAATGAGTCGGTTTTTGAAAAGTTTGATGACGTGACAGACTACCCCCACCCACTATAGTACACCCCCTCCACTGGTCAGCCTTCCGCGCGCTCCCGGTTGCACTTCCCCCTCCAGTGTACCATCTCCCCTCCCACTTGCCCTGTCTTGGTTGGTTGGGTCTTTGAGGGCAAGGTAAATGAAGGCCGTTCTTGATCTGTACAATTCTTTATTCGTTTTCATTTAAAAAAATAATTTACAAAATCTGGTATTTTGCACAAGAAATACGGGGAGTTGCTTGTGCCGATCGGGGTCCGCCAATATTGAACAAAGCAAGGGCAGCCTCATCTGTGATTTACTTTTTCCTTGACTGTGCCAACTGGTTTCACTTTCCTTTCAGTCAATAGACCCTCAAGCTATTGGAGGGATATGTACAGTGAACGCTACAATAAACGAATTTGAAAAAAAAAGGGTTAAAAAGCTCAAACATTTCAGCAAAGATAAGACAATATCTGTACAAATTAAAAAAATTAACATTCCATAATAATTTAAATATACATTTAAGCACCAGTCCAGTGCAACATTAGATTAAGTTCAAAGTGGCAACTTCTTGGGTTTTTAACTTTTCTAGGTGTATTGTACACATTACGTCATGCAGAAAAAAATAACGAATTGGTCTGGCAAAAAGGACGGATGGCAAATGCAAGGGGGAATAAGCTATTGTTATGATAAAGTTCATAAGGTGTTGGCCTAAGACTCTTAAAATAATCGGATCCATGGAACATAAAATCATGGCTTTCAATACATAGAAAAGGTAACTTAAAAAGCTATCAGTGAGATGATAGAAACAATGAATGAATCGTACCTGGGTGACATTTCATTGACAAGCTTATACAGTAACATTTTTCTCAGTGATATTTGTTTTTTGTAAGATTTCTAAACCATGGCTCATACTGGGTGAGACAAGGTAAACGTTATATGATAAAATTATTAATATCTCTGGCATTAACAAAACAAAAAGACTTAAAGGCACATGCATGACATTTGTTACGTGGCACATCCATACGCATTAAATAGGAATGCTTAGAGTACAACTCAAGTGCGTAACAAAGTTCAAATTAATATTATCTGCCTCAGACACAACATTCATACCACTTACTCAAAATGACTAGGATAGAAACAAATGTCCTTGCCAAAATACAAAGACTTCCATGACTTCTCCTTTCAACCCAAATACTGGATAAAAAGACAACAGCCCATCCCATAAAAATTTGAACTAGTTACAAACACAACCAATTAGCTAAAACATAAAATGCCACGCCCACTGCAGAAGTGCATTTTACAAGGCAGAATGTAAACATTGTGTTTGATACAGACTAGCAATAAATAACAGGCATACAAGGAACATTGCACAAGTTGTAGAATGAATGCGTGAACTTGGTCAACGCCAACATTTATAAATGCTATTTTTTGTAAAGTACATTAAATACTTTAAAGTAATTATAAGTAATATTATTTGACTATCCGTCACTTCAATTTACGTCTTTCTCAAGAATGACACGTCTGCACTCAAGGCTGGTCAAGCAAACCTGTACGGTTGCTTCAGAAACCAAAGACCTCGCACACCACCATGGAGGCTTTGCTCTAACTAGAGTCCAGTCACCTTTAGAAACAATTCACAAATTCCTAAATCACTGTCAGTCTTCGAAGCTGGGCAGCACTTCCTGTGTCTCAGCACTGTAAAGTCCAATGTTGTCCTCTCTGGGAAGGAGCCGCATGGAGGGCTCGTCCCACGCAGCCGGCGGCGCGGGGGCAGTCCGACGCCCCCGCCGCCCCCCGACCGCGGCAGCAGCAGCAGTGGTCCCTAGGCTCGATTCTAGCAATCGATCCTCTCGAAGCACTGCTGGCTGCCGGAGGGTCAACATCTCGACGTGTTGAGCGGTTTGAGAACTACCTCGGCCCTCGATATGATGAGGTCAGGGTCTGCAACAGGGAGTGAGAATCCAGGTCAGACAAGAACAGGAAACACAGCGTTCACCCCCCGAGACTTTAGACGTGATACCAGTAGAGGTACTATTGCCAACCCAAGGCGTTAGAACAAAATTTCAAGTTGCGACAGCGAGTCCACCCGTTGCCTTGCGACATCAACCAGAGGGGAATACTCCCCCTGACGGCCCAAACTCGCCATCAGTCGGACGTTGATTTTATGCCTGAGCTCCGCAAAGGCGAGATGACCAGCCTCAGCTCGCCCTCGGCCCAGCAGGCTGACCAGATTCGCTCCGTCTCTCTCGCACTCATGGGGCGCCCAGCAGGGGCGCGAAACCCGCGGGTTGGAATCAGTCTGGTAGAGCCGCACATGCAGCCCGGCCAAACGGCCGGCCCACCCTCCCGGCCACAAACCACGTCACGGCAAACGCGCCGATGCAACCCCACCCGCCCCACCGCTCAGTATGATACACCCCGTCACTAGCACGCCTCATATACCCCCTCCGCCAGGCGCGGCCAGGGCCTTGGCCCAGGCAACCCCTGGCGGCAGGCTGCCGTAGGCCCTAGACCCAAGCCCCAGGCCCAAGCCCCAGGCCGCCACGGTCGCCAATTTCATCACATTTCCTTGAATTTAGATCAGGCCGGCCGGCCATCCGACAGGAGGCCGAGCCGAACTTCCAGCCAGCCTCCGCCCCGCCCCGCCCCGCCCCGCCCCGCCCCGCACTGCTCCGCCTTCGTCAATATGCAAGGGCAGGAGCACATGGCCACGGGCAGCAAGGCCTCGCCGCGGCGGCAGGCATAGGGGCAGCACCAAGAGGAATAAACTGGAGCATGCTAGACAGGCACAGTGGGCCAGAAGACCGGTGGAGGCGGTCGAAACCCCGGACGCGTTTTGAGCTCCAGCGTGTCTAAATGGTACTCGAACCGAACGCGTGACCCCACCAATGGATTCCTCGTTCGGAGAGCAATCAATTGGTGGGGTCACACGCTCGGTTCGAGTCCCAGTTAGCGACTCTGGGGCTCAAAACGCGTCCGGGATTTCGACCGCCTCCACCGGTCTTCTGGGACCCCACGAGAAAACCGACGTGTCTTCCTCATGGCGTAAGACGCTAGCAAGGCCGCAGAGAGACTCACCATTGTTGTTCCGTATTCTATTGAGGACGCCGCCCCCGCTGCCGATGATGGTGGTCATGGGGGGCCCCATGGGGGGCGGCATGCCCTGCCCCTTGGGGGGCCCCATGGGGACGACGGTGCCCCCCGCGGGGTCCTCGTGGGCGCGGACTTGTCTCCGCGGGTCGTCGGGGTGCATGGTGGTGTGGTGGGGGGCGTGTCCGAGCGTGGCGTAGCCCATGGGGTAGTGGGGGCTCTGCGCCGTGGGGTGGCCCATGGGGTGGGCCATGGGGTGCATCATGGGGTGCCCCATGGGCGGGGCCGCGCCGCCGACGGGGGCGCCGAGGGACCGCGCCGCGGCGGCCGCGCCCACGGCGGGCGGGTGCTGGCGGGCCAGCGTGCCCTGCTGCTGTGCCTGCTGCTGCTGCTGGCCCTCCCGGATGCCGACGACGGACGAGTTGGGCGACGTGGCCGTCACCAGGATGCCGAACTGGTCCTCCTCGCCCGGCGTCACCGGCTGCCGCTTCAGCGAGCCCACCACCACCTGCTGGGGGGACGGAGGACCGGGCCGTAGTCACGGTTATAGCACAGCGGAACGAAAAAGTGAAGCGAAACGGAGAGAAATAAAACGAAATAAAGTGAAATTTAACAAAATAAAGAGAGGCAAAACAAAACAATCTGAATTGAAATCATAGAAACATAGTGAAATAAAACGAAAATAAAGTTAAAGGAACAATACTCTGCAAATCCAAGTGTGGGCGACAGTCTCACACTCTTTAGCGTGAACCAAAATGTCTCACTCTTACAATTGTCAGAAAACCGGTGGAGGCGGCCAAAATTCTTGACACGTTTCGAGGTCCGGACCCGCTAAATGGGACTCGGACCGAACGTGTGACCCCACCACTGGATTGCTCTCTGAACGAGGAATCCATTAAAGGGGTCACACGTTCGGTTCGAGTCCCATTTAGCGACTCTGGAGCTCAAGACGCGTGTGGAGTTTTGGCCGTCTCCACCGGTTTTCTGGCCCACTGTGTCACGGGTCACGAGTGAAAGAAAGTTGAGACTGTATCACACTTGGACGTACACTGCGGTAAGAGAAGTAGAGAGAAGGAGGACACGAACCTGGCTGCCGCGCACCGCCTCCCGGAAGTCGTCCCTGCGCCGGGCCTCCTCGGCCTCGCGGGCCGCCTCGCGCCGCCGCCGGCACACCACCAGGGTGACGGCCAGCGCCACGGCGGCCAGGATGAGCACGGCGCAGGCCACGAGCGCCCCCAGCACCACGGCCACGGGGGCCGTCTGGTGGGCGATGCCCGCGCCGCTCGACCCGGACGCCAGCGGGTCCACCGGGTGCGGGCTCAGCATGTTGCCGCGCAGCTCTGCGGCAAAAACGCGCGTCAGTGTCGCCACACAGGAGCCCAAACCCCCACGATGCACCAGGGTTGCCAACCTCAGCCTGCCTACCAGATGCCCGGAAAGGGCTCAGAGGGCAGACTGAGGTTGGCAACCCTATCGACACTGGCGTACAGTGCGGTGAAGGTGGCCAAAACTCTAGACGCGTTTTGAGCTGCAGCGTCGCTAAATGGGACTCAAAACGAACGTGTGACCCCACCAACGGATTCCTCGTTCGGAGAGCAATCCATTGGCGGGGTCACACGTTCGGTTCGAGTCCCATGTAGCGACTCTGGAGCTGAAAACGCGTCTGAAGTTTTGTCCGCCTCCACCGGCCTTCTGGCCCACTGTGCTGCGCCTCGTACTCACCGACGCCGTTGATGAGCTCCGCGCTGTGCGGCGCCACTGCGAAGAGCCGCACCGGCGGCTCGCTGCTGCCCTTGTCGTTGACGGCGAAGAGCATGATCTCGTACCGCCGCCCCGGCTCCAGCTTGTTCGACTCCAGCGTCCAGGAGGGTTCTCCAGCCGTCAAGCGCAGAATAGGCTGAAAAAAATAAAAACAAAACCGTAAAGCATTTCTTTTCATTAAATTAAGATAAGATCTTAAATATTCTGTAAAAAAAAATGTTTGTAGCGGGATTTGAACCCGGAGTTGCGTGGAATCGAACGACGCTGCCGGCGGCTCCTGCAATATAATAGAGCGGCAAATGCATTCGCTCGCAGATTTCAGCCCGCCGGCCTCCTCCTCCCCTTCCACCGCCCGCTGCCAACCCTACAAAACGCACACACATGCCGTTTCTCCCCCACCGCCACGCCACTGCCAACCGCGGCCTGGCCACAGTGTCCCTGCGCGTTATCGCACTCATACATAGGCCGAGGGTGGCAGGCCTGCGTCTGGGACTCCGTCTGGAAGGCACGGCTTGGCCCAGGCTAGGCTGCCACACAGTGGGCCAGAAGACCGGCGCAGGCGGCCAAAACTTCAGACGCGTTTTGAGCTCCAGAGTCGCTAAATGGGACTTGAACCGAGCGTGTGACCACACCAATGGAATCCTCGTTCAAAGAGCAATCCATTGGTGGGGTCACACGTTCGCTTCGAGTCGCATAAGCGACTCTAGAGCTTGAAACGCGTAGGATTTTGACCGCCTCCACCGGTTTTCTGGCCCACTGTGCGCCGCAGACTTCCTTGCAAAACTTCCCCTCCCCTCCTGCGCTTCTCGTCCACCCCTTCCCCACCCCTCATCCTCCCGACCAGCTCTTTTTCCTCCCCTCCCGCGCTTCTCCCCCTTCCTCCCCTGCACCCCCTCCTATTCGCCGTCTCTCTCTGTTTGACCAGCCAAGGGACGCTACGTGCCTGACCTTACGCCCTAAATGAGTTTTGGACAAGGCGGGTAGAAAGGGGAAGGGAGGGGGGCGGGGAGTGACGCGTGCGCGAAGTTGCCGGCGAGAGGGACAGGAGTTAGGCGTCCTGAAGGTTGCCTACGTTTTCAAATGGGCAAAGCATGTTGCAAGTTTATTTCGGGGGCTTTGACGCGACCGCCTGAATATACACCAGGGGCCGCCCTCCGTGCCTCCGTACCCGAACAACGCACAGTAGGCCAGAAGACCGGTGGAGGCGGCCAAAATTTCAGACGCGTTTCGAGCTCCAGAGTCGCTAAACAGGCCTGGAACCGAACGTGTGACCCCACCAATGGATTGCTCTCCGAACAAGGAAGCCATTAGCGGGGTCACACGTTCGATTCGAGTCCTATTTAGCGACTCTGAAGCTCACAACACGTCCGAAATTAAGCCTGCCTCCACCGGTCTTCTGTCTCCCTCGCACTCATGGGGCGTCCCGTACGGGTGCGAGAGAGACAGAGCGACGAAAGCGGCTCTCGGAATCAGTCCGCAGGTGACCTGCCATAACTGGCGGCTCCGCCATCTTCCCGCCCCAATAAAAACTTTGCCCGCTTTCCAGCCCACAAACCCGAGGCAAGGCCCACACTCACCCCAAATTCCGGCCGAAACAACCATTTTTTTTCTTTTTTTCCACGATCGCGCCACGCGCTTTCCACGCGGCTCCCACTCTGCGGCCTGTCTACAAAGCCCTCCTTGACCCCAATTTTTTCCCTTTCTCTGCAACGGGACATCTCACAGTTGTTGCCTTAAGCGAGGAGCCACGAGAAAGCGTTCAGGGTCAGAATCAACAACAACCCCCCCCCCTTTTCCCCTCCTCCAATCCTCTCAAGAGCGCATCTCGGCCGGAAAGAACGCTCAAGCCTAAAGCTAAGCCGACCAATAAAAACTTTCCGCGTGATATTACACCCCGCAACGGTTTGCTTTCCCGCTGCTGTTGCAACTTCTTCCGCTACTGCGTGTGTTTTTTCGTACCCCCCCCCTCTCTCTCACTCTCTCTCTCTCTCACTCTCTCTCTCTCTCTCTCTCTCTCTCTCTCTCTCTCTCTCTCTCTCTCTCTCTCACTCACTCTCTCTCTCTCTCTCTCTCTCTCTCTCACTCTCTCTCTCTCTCTCTCTCTCTCTCTCTCTCTCTCTCTCTCTCTCTCTCTCTCTCTCTCTCTCTCTCTCTCTCCCTCACTCACTCTCTCTCTCTCTCCGAATTCGCTCCTTGTTCTTCCCTATTCAGTCTATTCATCCGAGCGTCGCGCTCTGAGGGGTCGCCCCGCTGCAGCGACCGCAGAAGTGCAGCAAGCTGACGCCCCGCGGGCTTACAGACAGACAGACAGACAGACAGACAGACAGACAGACAGACAGACAGACAGACAGACATGCGGGCCGTCCCCTGATGGTAAAACACGGCTACAGTAAGACAGCGACGCGCAGACGAACACACAACCAAAGAGCAACGGCACGTCAACAATCACAAGGATGAGAAATGCCGCGAGCAAAAAGCAAAAGTGGGTCTTTTGTCGAAAGCGGACAAACCACCGGTATGAGAAATGCTGCAAAGTGAAGCTGTTGTCGTGCCGTGACCTGGAAACGCCCTGGAAAAGCCGCTGGAAAAAGTCCTGGAAAAGCCTGGAAAAGGAGGGCAGGTCGAGAGAGCGCCGTAACGACGGATGAAGGCATCACAGATGCATGCGGCTGCTCTGCCAACGCGCATCAAACGGCCGCTACACTGCAAGAAAAAGTGTGGATAGTACAACAAAAGTACAATAAAAACTGTGCAATAAAAGTACAACAGGGGCTGTAGAAAGTACAACGAGAATTGTACAAACCACAACCAACCCTGGACTGCCCAGCACTCGTCATGCCGGTTCCGTTGTACTTCACACTAAATGTCATGGGACTTTTTTTGTCCCACGGTTTATGCAATTTTAAGCACATCCGACGCTGATACAATTTTGTTCCCGTCTGGTGACACATTTTGTCCGGCGCCAGCTGCAACTTGTACTTTCACTAGACAGTTTGTCCCGCCTGGCGGACACAAAATTGCATCACCACCGGATGTGCTTAAAATTGCATAAACCGTGGGACAAAAAAAGTCCCATGACATTTAGTGTGTTTGTACAACAATTGTTGTACTTGAAAAGTACACTAAATTCCTGATAAAAAATTTGCCAGAAATTTGTGTACTTTCGTTGTGGTTATTTTCTGCAGTGTAAGTAGTCGAAGCGGACAGACAGGCCACTCTAAAGCGGAAATGAAAAATGGTGGGAACAGTTTAGAGGTGTGCTGCTTAATTTGATCATCGAACAGCATTCTCAATTTTCGCGGTCAACGTTTTGACCTGCTGTCTACGATAGTCTTGGAACGTTTTCAGTTAAACTAGACACTTCTTTCAAGTAGTGAAAATACGAAAAAAATTAATTGAAAAAATTGTTATTTAAATTGAAGAGTAATTTTCCCTTTCCCGCCATGATTGCAGTACGAAGCCACGACATGCAATGCTTTCGTGGGTGGTCGAAACGTAATGGCACAAAACTGTCCGACTCAAGACAAGACACCCCCCCCCCCTTTTGACCTTTGAGGAGTGGAAAGGGGGGGGGGAGAGGACGAGGAGAACTTGCCAAGGCGGCCAAGCCAAGCCGGACCTAACAGGCGTGGGTACACTGGACACCTGTCCAGCCTGCATCACTAAATCATTTCCCTCAGCAAGTCGGAATCAGACGGCTTCGCCCTGGCTTGGTCCTCCCACTGGGTTCCAGTCGTTTCGGCACCGCAGGAGGAAGTTCTGCTCGCAAACTAGTCCACCACTCAACGTGGCGCTAGACGCCACTAGACTGGCAGTTACAACAAGAACAACAACAAAAAAGGAGAAATTTTCACATTTAAAAGCACTCTACAAACTGAAGTGTGTACTCAGTATGCATCTACAGATGCATACTTATAAGTACACACCTACAGATGCATACCTAGCTGAGTACACATCTACAGATGCATACCTGTTAAGTATGCATCTGTAGGTGCATACTTGGCAAGTATGCATTAGTAGGTGTGTACTTGTCACCGTATAAATGCCCAGTATCAAGTACACATCTACAGATGCATACTTGGCTGAGTACACATCTACAGATGCATACGTGCCAAGTATGCATCTGTAGATGTGTACTCAGCTTGGTATGCATCTGTAAGTGTGTACTTATAAGTATGCACCTGTAGATGCATACTGAGTACACACTTCAGTTTGTAGAGCACCCTCCCCCCCCCAAAAAAAGGTGACTGTCTTTATGCACTTGCCGGAGATAAATAGAATTCCTCTGTCGAAGCCACTGCCAAGGACGAGGACCCTAAAGCCAAAGACTCATTTTTCAAAGTATTCAAAAATTTGGTGCCATGCGGAAAATGTGCGGAACGCATTTTTGAAAGCAGAACGCATGCATTGAATCCCCTGCTTCTCCATTGTTTTCATTTTCACCTCACCGATGAGTCAGATAATACAGTCTGCCATTGCGAACTACGCTCCCCCCCCCCCTCTTTCGACTGAGCAAAAGGGGAGGGGGGAGGGGCGTTTGATAAATGTGCCGGCATGCGAGCAGTCCCGTGTTCGTCCGACAGTGCGACAGTGTGCCGTCGATGGAGACACATCGAAAGCACGCGGCGAGAGTCGTCGCTCTGTCCCTCTCGCACCTGGACGGGGCGCTTGCAGGTGCGAGGGAGACGGAGTGACGAAAACGATCCTCGGAACCAGTGTGGCAGACGAAACCGTATAACGCCCCTATTGCGTATTGCGGGGGCGACATCGGCCGGCCATCAAACTGCGGGCCGGGCCGGGAGACGAGCCATCCTGGCGGGCAGCGCGGACAGGGCCAGGTGGAGTGCCGGGACAAAGCAACAACGAAACGACGCAACAACAAAAGAATCACAGATTTATCAAAATTAGGGAGATTTTCGGTCGGAGTTCACTGAACGCCGAAGAAAAATGTGGGGTTGCATTCTCTATCATGACCGGTGAACCAACCGCTCGCTCAGGTCTGCGGGAAGGGTCAAAAAGACTGAAACCTTTTTTAGCTGTAAAGTTACTGTTTACACACTAAATGTCATGGGACTTTTTTTGTCCCACGGTTTATGCAATTTTAAGCACATCCGGTGGTGATGCAATTTTGTGTCCGCCAGGCGGGACAAATTGTCTAGTGAAAGTACAAGTTGCAGCTGGCGCCGGACAAAATGTGTCACCAGACGGGAACAAAATTGTATCAGCGTCGGATGTGCTTAAAATTGCATAAACCGTGGGACAAAAAAAGTCCAATGACATTTAGTGTGTACTCAAATCGACTAACTCTACAATAGTTTCAGCTCTTCTGCCTGAGCACGAGAGTGAAAATTTTGAAAGGAGGTCTGTTATTTTACTTGTCACGGAGAAAACCAATGTAACTTTTCGTGGATTTGACTTAACGACTTTGACTGTTTTACAGCGTAGGAACCAGGCAGCCACTAATTGAAATCCGAAGTTTGCAGTGTAGCCCGCTGTTGCTCCCCGTTAGGCTGAGCGATGCTTACCTGTCCTCTGGAGGCACTGGCGTCCCTCAGCTCCTGACCGGCCGTTCCGTGTCCCGGGGGCGAGCCGGAGCCGGAGCCCGCGCCGGACCCGGCGCCAGCACCGGAACCGGAACCGGAACCGGATCCGTGCTCCCCGAGGTCGTGTTCCTTGGCGAGGCCGGGCGGGCCGGGCAGGCCGGGCAGGTGGCCCGTGATCTCGTTGCTCTTGTCGTCGTCCCAGGCGAACGGCTCCTCGTCCAGGGCCTCGAACACCTCGAGCAGGAAGTGCTGGCGGAGGCCGCCGTCGGCGCCCGCCACGCACTTGACTTGCACCTCGGCGGCCGCGCCGCCCGCGCCGCCCGACGAAGGGGAAGTCCGGTTCCACACGGAGCACGCCTCCGGGGGCTGCGGGGACCCTGCAACAGGGAGGAGGGAAGTGTCAGCAGACAAATTGGCCACGTGGCGGGGCGGGGCGGGGCGGGGCGGGGCGGGGCGGGGCGGGGCCACTTTGAAGGGGTAACTTTATCGGTCGCAACTTCGGGCCGCCCCGGCCCGGCCCGCCCCCAGCATGTTTGCACCACTGTTTTGGTATGCGGTCGCGATCGGGTCGCTGCGAAAACAGAGGGGAGGGGGGCGAGAACGAGACGAGTCTCCAAGTAAAGGGAATGGCCAATAGGAAGGTGGACAGGACCCACAGTGGGCCAGAAGACCGGTGGAGGCGGCCAAAAATCCAGACGCGTTTTGAGCTCCAGAGTCACCCAATGGGACTCGAACCGAACGAGTGACCCTACCAATGGATTGCTCTCCGAACGAGGAATCCATTGGTGGAGTCACACGTTCGGTTCGAGGCCCATGAAGCGACTCTGAAGCTCAAAACGCGTCTCGAGTTTTGGCCGCCTCCACCGGTCTTCTGGCCCACTGTGCGGTGGACCTTCGGCAGATGCTGGATAGGTGGCGGGGTGTAGAGTAAACAGGTGGCGGGACGCGCAGAACAGGTGGTGGGGGCGGGAGGAGGTAGCCCTGGAGGGAGGGGGGGGGGCAGACAGAGGGAAAGGAAAGGAAAGGGTTCGAGCGAGCACAAAGAAAACACATTAAAACAAACCCATTTAAATTTCAAATAGCCCGCGCCGCCGTGCCGCGCACAGCCATTGTGTGCGTGTTGCGACGTCGGCGTCCTCAAGGGGCCGTGCCGCGTCGTGCCGTGCCGCGCCGTGCCGTGCCGTGCCGTGCCGTGCCGTGCCGTGCCATGCCGTGCCGCGCACAGAAAGCGCTCCCGCCACAGCCTCAGCGGATTTGGCGGTAGGCTCCTCGGGTCACAGACCACTATAGCCGAATGGCAGCCAAAAAGCAGCGCCCAAAGTGATCGAGCAACTCTCCCTTAAACTTGTATTTTTAAAAGTTTTTTTTTTTAGGGGGGAGGAAGGAAAAGATGTTCGGACCAAGCAGTAGCACAGCCATACCTGGTGATTCTCATGTTGCGTGCCAACCTCACAACAACAACTCTCTCACTCGCCACACAAACACACCCCTCCGCTTTTCTCTCTCTCTCTCTCTCTCTCTCTCTCTCTCTCTCTCTCTCTCACTCTCTCTCCTGACGGATGGCGCCGCACCCATTAGGGTGTGGGTACCATGGTACTCCCTGGTACTCAGGCCAACAGGGATACGGTTATATATTTGACGACGTCACACCCGCCGTGTTCACCGCACCGCCACCAACATCGCCACCACCATCATCAGCAGCAACAGCAGCCTCAGCAGCGCCGGGACCGCCAAGCTGCAACTTTATGGCCGCTGTTTCTCTCTATGACACTTCAGCTCGATGAACTCCTTCGCCTCCGCGGAGCGCGCACAGAGGGCCAGAAGACCGGTGGAGTCGGCCGAAACTCTAGACGCGTTTTGAGCTCCAGAGTCGCTAAACAGGACTCCAACAGAACGTGTGACCCCACCAATGGGTTGCTCTTCGAACGAGGAATCCATTGGTGGGGTCACACGTTCGGTTCAAACGAAAATTTTAACGAAATGTTTTAGGACTGCACTTTTTACACCCGGGTTGCGTGCAACAGTGAGCCTCACTCGTTGCCTCAGGCCTCACTCGCCGGGCTGCCTGTCTCTGCGTACTTCGGCAGCGAAGTAATTTCCCCCCGCCGGGCCGCTCAGAGCCGACACGGCACTGAGTCCAAATAAAATGCATTCTACCGCACACCCCCATGTACACAGAGAGAGAGAGAGAGAGAGAGAGAGAGAGAGAGAGAGAGAGAGAGAGAGAGAGAGAGAGAGAGAGAGAGAGAGAGAGAGAGAGAGAGAGAGCGAGCTTGCCAACACAGCCGCGCCAGGCTCCAGCTCACACGTGTGATGCACGCTCGCCCCCTCCTTGAAGTAGAGAGAGTGCTCCGTCGCTCTGTCTCCCTCGCACCGCTACGGAGCGGGCCGCGAGTGCGAGAGAGACGGGCTGTGTTAATAACACCTGCAGCTTATCGTGGGGGCATCGGAGCGGCGCCCGGCGCGGCAGCATCCACGCGCCTTGCAGTCTCAGTCTTTCAGATCGCCGCTTCAAACGAACCACCCTTCCTCCGCAGCCCCGGGTTCAAAACCCGCCCGACCCAAAGGATTTTTTTTCTCTTCTCTCCTCTCTTTTCAGTGAAAACTTTTCATTTTGTTTTCTATATTTTATTCCGGGCGTTTGGTATGCATGCATTTTGTCTGACGGGGGGAACGGCTGGGGGGAAAAAAGGGGGTGGGGGAGCTTAATTTGAAGTCAGCCAAGTCCGACTAATGTAAGACGGGCCCGCCTCGCACCGACACCGACGCAACACACAGACGACAAAAACTCACGCCTGCACACACTCATATTCTCTAACGCACGCTGGCACGCACATACACCATCTTCGCTCTCTCTCTCTCTCTCTCTCTCTCTCTCTCTCCCTCTCTCTCTCTCTCTCTCTCCCCCCCCACACACACAAACACACACACGCGTCTGTCACGCGCGCGGGTCACCACCGCACAGAGGTCGAAAGGCACGCGTGCGCACACGCACAAACACACACACACACACACGCACAAACACACACACACGCACACACGCACACACACACACACACGCACACACACACACACACGCACACACCGCAGCCACCACTACACGGAGACACGAGCACATGATGAATGTCCCATCGCCGCGGCGGGCAGGCAGGCAGGCAGCTCGCGACACGGAGCCACACTTCTCCAAGGACGGCAGGACTGACACACCTCCCTCAGGAGGAGGAGGGAGGGGGGGAAAAGGGGGCGAAGAATAAGGAGAGAGCAAGAGAGACGAGTAGCGAGGGAAGAGGAAGAGGAAGGAAGAGCGAGGAGGACAAAGTGAAAGGGGCAAAAGAGAGGGGGCAAGGCGCCTGCCGCGTAGGCAGCCACGCAGGCTGGGCGCACGGCAGCGCCGCGGTTTGCCTACGCGGCGTTCCGCAGGCGCGCGCAGAGGGCGCGGCTAAAAGTCTTGACGCGTTTTGAGCTCCAGAGTCGCTAAACAGGACTCGGACCGAACGTGTGACCCCACCAACGGATTCCTCGTTCGGAGGGCAATCCATTGGTCGGGTCACACGTTCGATTCGAGTCTTGCTTAGCGACTCTGGAGCTCAAAAACGCGTCTGGGGTTTCTGCCCGCCTCCGCCGGTCTTCTGGCCCACTGTGAGCGGATTACAGTGTAGGGGTGTACTTACTAGCGGCGACCACGTGCACGTAGCAGGGCGTGCTCTGGCGGCCGATGCGGTTGGACGCCCAGCAGCCCAGCGTGCCGAAGTCGGCGTCCGCGTTGGGCGTGTACACCAGGTAGGACACGGTGCCGTTGGACAGCACCTTGTGCTGCGGCACGGCCGTCACGTCGCGGCTCCGGTTGAAGGTCCACGAGAAGCGGACGTCCTCCACGGGCTCGGCCAGCACCTCGCAGCGCACCTCCACCGGCTGGGCCTTGATGGCGCCCATGCGCCGGTTCACGAAGCCCTCCCGGCACCGCGGGGAGTCTGCGGGGACAGAGGGAGGCACACCGTCAGCACAACAACAGCAGCTACAACAACAACAACGACAAAAACAAAAAAAATAAAAAAAACACAATTTTTGGAAAAACCACAACAAAAATTTGAAAAAAAAACAACAACAAAATTTAAAAAAAATAGTTTTTAAAAAACAAGAAAAATTTATATTAAACCAGATTTCGAAACAAAAAACCTACACAGAAGAAACAAATTAACAAAAAAACACACATGTTTCTTTCTTAAAAATAACGCAGAAACAAATTTTTCGTTTCATTTGTGTGGAAAGGAGGAAAGTGAGGGACGGGGATTTTTCACGGCCTTCGTCGCGGCGACCGTCGTCTTCGACCGCGAGCCCTGCCCGGCCCTGTCCGGCGGCGGCCTTGCCAGCAGACTGATTCCGAGAGTCGTTCTCGTCGCTCTGTCTCTCTCGCGCCTCTTCGGGACGCCCCATGAGTGCGAGAGAGGCAGAGCGACGAAGACGACTCTCGGCATCAGTCTGCTGGCCTTGCCTGGCCGTGCCTGTCCTTGCCCTGGCCAGAAAGGCATCCACTAATTATTGGCCCCGAGACGTGCGAAAAGCCGGCGGGGCGAGGCGGCATTGACTTGGAAATGAGTCGGACAGGAGCAAGGGAGAATCTCGGTTGATGAGAAATTGCTTCGCTTCCGCGAAGCGCAATCACGGCTTGACGGACGCCATGATGGCGGTACACTGGGAGACGCCGGGCACGGGGGCACATTAGAGGATACGCTGGAGGACACACTGCACAGTGGGCCAGAAGACCGGCGGAGGCGGCCAAAACTCTAGACACGTTTTTAGTTCTAGAGTCGCTAAATGGGACTCAAACCGAACGTGTGACCCCACCAATAGATTGCTCTCCGAACGAGGAATTCATTGGTGGGGTCACACGTTCGGTGCGAGTCGTGTCTAGCGACTCTGGAGCTCAAAACGCGTCTAGAGTTTGGGCCGCCTCCAGGTCTTCTGGCCCACTGTGCCCGGCGAGCTGCGAGATGCGAAAGCTGGGATTCACAGCGAGCCTCGCCCCAGACCGCTTGCGGGAATCAGGCTGATTGTTTGCACACCCTTTACCCTTTTCCCCGGGGTGACCCGCAGTGTGGACGCCCTGGTTACAATGCGGTGCAAGCACCAGGCGCGCGGACCATTGACCCCCGCCTCGCACGAATCTTAACTGGTTTCTTTCTATTTTTTTTGTCTCCGGAATCAAGTGCTAACATCGGATTTCTTTGCCCCTTCCCCCTCTCTCACTTTTCCCTGGTGGAAAAGAACACACCCTCGCACGCTGCACGCGTAAGGGGAAAAATGTATTTGCAGTGATGTAGGCGCGCGCAACAACAATATACATTCAAAAGCTTTCAATCAACGATCTCTCTCTGAACAAAAGCGAGCTCGGCGTGAGGGGAATGCATGTCCCCCCCCTCTCTCCCTCCCTCCCTCTCTCTCTCTCTCTCTCTCTCTCTCTCCTCTCTCTCCCCTCTCTCTCTCTTCCCTTGTTGCTTCTCTGCATGCTGTGCGGCCTGAATGGCCTGGCCGGCCGCCGGACAAGACGCGCCCACGCGACAAAAAAGAGAAAAGAAAAACACACACAGGCATACGCTTCGAAACCCTGGACGCGTTTTGAGCTCCAGAGTCGCTAAATGGGACTCGAACCAAACGTGTGACCCCACCAATGGATGGCTCTCCGAACGAGGAATCCATTGGTGGGGTCACACGTTCGATTCGAGTCTTGTTTAGCGACTGGAGCTCAAAACACGTCTGGAGTTTGGGCCGCCTGCGCCGGCCTTCTGGCCCACTGTGTCGTTCCTGGCCTTGTCCTGCCACAACCCGGGCGGGCAGGGCATCCTTGGCCTTCTCAGGCACGCCGGGCTGGCCGAGGGGCGACACGCACACCGCAAAGTTTTGAGGCGCTTCGTCTGGCTGGCACCGCAGAGACGAGCGGCGCTCCCCAGCGGCCGCCCCGCCCCGCCCCTCTGCGCACACTCTCGCGTGCGGCCCAGGAGGAAAAGAACCCCTCGCGGGCATCGGGCCATTGGCTCCCCCTCGCCGTGCGCCGTCGCTCTGTCTCTCTCGCACCGCCGCGGAGCGCCCCGTGAGTGCGAGAGAGACAGAGCGACCAGCGCGGCCAGGCACGTCCCGACCGGACCGTAGCGAGCCTAGCCGCCAGCGAGCCGCAGCCCTGCCGTCTTTCTTGGACAAACTCATCAACATTTTGGCGAGTTCCTCCCAGAAAACGAATCACTCCGCTGCAGCGCGGCGCCGCGACCCTCCGCAGCCGTGCGAGGGGGATGCCCTCTGTAAACTCCTGTGCAAACTACCGGCAAGAGAGAGAGAGAGAGAGAGAGAGAGAGGAGAGAGAGAGAGAGAGAGAGAGAGAGAGAGAGAGAGAGAGAGAGAGAGGCCAAACGAGGTAATGAGATGACACTTGTTCCCCCAGTGTCGGCTCACCCCTGCGCCCCTTTCGCACGACCACCGATCGGGCGGCATAAAATCTGCATGCGAAAAAGGCCAGCGGGAAACAATAGTTCAGCTCGCAGGAAAAACATAAAACCGACGTTTGATTAGCCCCCGCTATTGACTCGTTTATGGCTGAGTCTCACAGTGGGCCAGAAGACCGGTGGCGGTGGCCAAAACTCTAGACGCGTTTTGAGCTCCAGAGTCGCTAAACAGGACTCGAACCGAACGTGTGACCCCACCAACGGATTCCTCGTTCGAAGAGCAATCCATTGGTGGGGTCACACGTTCGGTTCGAGTCCTGTTTAGTGACTCTGGAGCTCGAAACGCGTCCGGGGTTTCGGCCGACTCCACCGGTCTTCTGGCCCACCGCGGGTGCGAGAGAGACAGAGCGACGGAATGAGTCGGCTGTACTCACACTGCACGGTGATCTTGAGCGGGTCGGACCGGCCCGAGCCCTCACTGTTGGCGGCTGCACAGGTGTACTCGCCCGCCGACGACGGCGACAGGTTCCTCACGACGAAGGTGCGCTTGCCCGCCGCGTCGGGGCCGTCCTGGCGCAGCAGGTGTTGCTGCAACAAACAACACAAACAACACCGTCAGACAAAGAGAACCAGAAAACCATGGTTTACAATGACGAGGCTGTGGATGAAGGGAGGGAGGCGAGAAATTTCAATATGAAAGAGGTCACTTTTCAAACTGAACAGTGACTTTTTCACAGCGTCAGCATTTCGCAAGATGACAACACGGCGAGTTTTTGATGTTTGTTGGATGTGAGCGATCGTCTTTGGACGCCGCGGTGGAGGCAACCAAAATTTTGGGCGCGGTTTGAGCTCCAGAGTCGCTGAATGGGCGACTCAAACCGTGCGAGTGATCTCACCGATGGATTCGTCGTTCGGAGAGCAATCCATTGGGGTTCACACGCTCGGTTCGTGTCCCATTTAGCGACTCTGGAGCTCAAAACGCGTCCGGGTTTTTGGCCGCCTCCACCGGTCTTCTGGCCCACTGTGTCGGATCGGCCATAGGCTGATGGGATGCCGGGGTCTGCCGGGATGGATGTGCGGCGGGGGGGCTCAAAAAGCGGCCGGGCCCGGCACCCTTTAGCCTATTTTGTCTTTAAAAAAACTGGAGAGTCAAAAACAAAAATTGGGCCGGCCAAAAAAAACCCGAGGTTGGCCCTGGGAACTTTTGGGAGAAAAAGGAAGGGATTTTGGGGAAAAAAGAGAGGGCAAAAAGGGGAAGAAAAGGAAAGGGAAAAGAAAGAAGAGGGGGACGAACGAAGAGAAAGAAAATAAAAACAAAAAAAGCGGGGTTTGGGAAATAGGAAAAAGGAGATTTTATAAAAAAATGAGGAGAATGATGAGCCAGGGATTTTTGAAAGTTAGGAGAATAGCGGTTAAGCTGAATTTGATTATTTTAAAATGAGGTTTTAGCTGTTTACGTTTGCCCGGGTTTTGGGGGACCTTTCGGGAAAGACGCGCTGAACGAATGGACCACGCAATAGTTTTTAAATTTGGGTTGGGAGGGTTTTCACCCGGGGTCCTACAAACCCCGCAGGCAGGCCCCCAACACCCGAACGGAAACCGTGGCCCTACTTTTTACCCCAAACCCTTCTTTGGAGCAACCGCCTTTCCCTTCACAGCGCGCTTTTTACAAAAAACACCCACACACACCAAAACAAAACCCAACAACCAAACCACAATAAAAAAAAAGGAAAAGCAGCCTTTTCCGGAAATTTTCGGGTTTTATTTTTTGGCCCGGGGGTTTATTGGGTTTTCCCCTCATTTTAAAGAAAAGTTTACAAAAATTTTGAAAAAATTTTCCCCAAAAAACCCCGAAACTGTGTTTTTTTGTTTTAGTTTTTTCTTTCTTTCTTTGTGGGGTAATCTGAGTCAACGTTTTCAATTTTTGGGAAAAAGGGCCCAACCGGGCAAAAATTTTTGCCGGTAAAGGCTTTAACCCCTTTGTTTTTTTAAAGTAAAAAAACAGGCAAACGGGGGGCCCGGGAACGGTCCCGGGTTTTTTTGCCTGGGACTGGGGAAGGGGGGAAGGGGGGGCCCGGGGGAAGGAAAAAAAGCCCAGGAAGGGAGTGAGGAAGGAAGGGGGGGGAGGGAAAAAAGGGGGGAGTGGAGAGAGAGGGAGGGGGAGGAGAGAGGGGAGAGGGGAGAGAGAGAGAGAGAGGGGGGGGAAAAGAGAGAGAGAGAGAGAGAGAGAGAGAGAGAAAGAGAGAGAGAGAGAGAGAGAAGGGGGTGAGCGGGGTGAGCAGCAGGCACTCGGAGTGTGACGGATATGGTGCACGTGAGCGGGAAGCCCAAGCGGACCCGCACGCTGCCAGCAGCCTGCCAGCGGGCACACCCTAAGTACTCACTCGATATATTTTTTATATTCTGTGTGTCGCGCCCCGAGGTTGTCAACCCTGATCTACCACTCTCTGCGTCGCCACGCTGCCACGCACACACACACACAAACACACGCACACACGGACACGCTGGCACGTACTTGACCTAACACCCTTCTTGGGAGGCAAAGGCACGCAAACCTTACTCCCTTACCCACTGCGCAGACATACACACACACACACACACACACACACACACACACACACACACACACACACACATATATACATACACACACACAGAGGAAAAAGACACGGCCTGGCCGGATGGTTACAGTATGTGAGTTGTGTGCTTTGTACGGATTTCAAACTGGACTCGCAGCATCACTGTAACACAGACGACGAACGTTTCCACAAAAATACGAAAATATTGCCCAACCGGCCATGTCAAGAGTCCTGTGTTTTAGTTGTCGTCTTCTCGAAACGTTTTTTTCTTTTTCTTTTGTGGTGGGGTGACATTTTTGAGAGCAACGCGAAGATACAAATCTGGGCGCGAAAAACAGGCAGAGGCCCAAAGCGGCGGGAAAAAGGGGACAAGGGTTAACCGCAGAGGGAAACCGAGCCGGGCTTGCCAACTTGCGCGCAGAAAAGTCTTTGCTCATTGAAAAGTATTCTCACGTACGCGAAAAGTGGGGGGCGGGGCGGAGGCAAGGGAGAAAATCTAGAAGCAAACTCCTCGGCGGGGCCCGGGAAGTGGCAAACGGCACGAAAACTGAGGAGGAGGAGGGGGAAGGGGGAGACCCCTGCATTCTGATTTCGACAAGCCGCGGCAATGTGACAAGAAGTATCTGCAGCGGAAACGACTCAAAGTGGCGCCGAATCCAAGCACACTCTAAAAGTCTTGCAGTGGAACCAGATTACGGTGAAAGTTCTCCAGATTATGCTAAAACTTTTCCAGATTATGGTGAAAATTCTCCACATTGTGATGAAAATTTTCCAGATTGTGGTGAAAATTCGCCAGATTATGGTGAAAATTTTTCAGATTATGGTGAAATTTCTCCAGATTAAGACGAAAATTCTCCACATTGTGATGAAAATTTTCCAGATTATGGTGAAAATTCTCCAGATTGTGATGGAGATTCTCCAGATTAGGGTGAAAATTCTCGATAGTATGGCGGTGCAGCTGATGGAAGACGTAAAGGACTTGCAGCTGGGATGAAGCGTAGAGCTGCGCTTCGGTTTTAAGAGTGGCATGTTTTTAAATCGGATCTCGCCCCAGCGAAGCCAGAAAGAGGGACACCTCTCCCTCCTGCATTCAACCAGCTCTGAAAAGACACGTGCACCGGTAAATATTTCCATTTCGTTTTTCACTTTCCCGTCTCGCTCCGTTTCGTATGGATTAGAAAAAAGAAGCATACCTCTCCTTTTTTCAGAAGATGGAGTGAGCGAACGAGGCAGAGATTCGAGATATCGACACGATATCCATTCATCTTCCAGTTTGCTTTTTTTTTTTCTGTTGTATTTTTTTTTCTTTTTCTCGGCAGTCAAAATG